CTCCCCATCCTTCACCCAGAGAAATGTCACTGCACTCATGGGAAGTGTGACTTAACACTGTCCAGCTGAGCCCTATGCAACCATAAAGACGGCCCCACACTAAAGCCACTGTGCCACATGTGGCTGCAGACACTTGACACCCAGCTGAGGAGTTCATTTTAATTTTTTTATTTAATGTATATATCAATAGCAATGTGTATACAGCAGCTACTGCCCAGCGAGAAGACAGAAAAAGAACATCTTTAGATGTTACAGAGGAGCAAGAGGAACTGTATGTCTGTATACATTTAGGTATATGGGTAGGTCAACAGTGTCGACCTGAATACATATTCTGAGCCTTCTTTTTTTAACATGCCCAGAGGTGAGCAAACACATTCTACAAATCAATTATTTAAAATTAGGATAACCACTAAGAGATGGTGCAATGATCTTTAAAACCTGAAATTACAAAGTTTTGATGTACTGAATTTTTACATTTGCTAATGCATTCCTTTTGATTTTTTTCTGGCATGATCCTGCATGTGGATCACACTGAGTTAACAGTTTCTCTGTTGGGTGAAAAAACAAACTGCAAAACAGTATGTACAATGTTATGCCAACTGTGTGTACATGCTTATATGACTGGAATCCAGCTCGATCCCTGCTGCTAAAAGAATGTTTGCAACCTGCCCTGAGTACACAGTAGCCACCAGCTACCAAGCACCTCAAAGATGGCTAGCATGACCGAGGAAGCCTAAGGTTTAAATGCACTTAGCTTAAACTTGTGTGTATGGGGGCATGTGTGTGTGCTTCAGTGTATGTGGAGGTCAAAGGACAATTTCAGAGTCATTTCTTGACTTCTACTTCGCTGAGGCGAGGTCTCTCTGACTGTTTAATCCAGTGTGCAACAAGTCCACACTAGCTGGCCCAAGAGCTTCTGGTGCTCGTCCTGTTCCTGCCTCCCAAGCCAAAGTGAGGAATTCTGGGATTGCAGATGCTAGACTCTGTCTCCAGCTCTTTACGTGGGTTCCAGGGACTGAACTCAGGTCATCAAGCTTGTTGTACAAACACTTTGCATTATTTTTAATTAGTTTAAGTGAAAGGGTCCCAACAGGCTAATGGTTATCCATTGGACAGTGTGGGTCTCAACGGCTCCTGGAAAGTGATAATGGTTGGAAGGGATCAATGGGTGTTATTTAAACTTGATACAGCATAGAATTATTTGTTATTCATTAGGTTTGTACCATTTGCTTGTATTTTATATTAAGCAGGATGGGAAGGCTTTTGCTTTGGCTATTGTAACAAAGCAAAACAACTCACTACTCCCACAGATTTGATGGATTCAAGGGTGGCAGTCATTCCTTTTAGTTCAACAGACTGGAATCAGGAGGTAAAGGGCACATACACTTGGTGCCTGCCTGGTGAGGGCTTTCCTCCTGACTTGGTACTGTGGTGTGCCTCCCCTACAAGACGTCATAGAAATGATTACTTCCCAGAATCTTTAGCTCAAATCATTATCACATCTAAATCAAGATTTTAGCTATGGATTGGGGGGGGGGCACAACTGAAAACATGGAAGCTTCCTTTCCTCTGCGTGGTTTTTCGTGGTTGTTGTTAAATTGTTTTTATCACATCTACTAAGATCTTGAGGATCTCTGCAAATGTAACTTGGGGCTTCTGTTAGCTGGCTCTTGAACAGCTGGACTTGTTTTTCTACCTGGGCAGAGGCCCAGTGAAGAGTCTGCAACAGCAAATCCAGTTTGAAAGAACACATTTAATGGGTAAACACTCTCCCATCTTCTTGGGAGTGGAGAAGTCATATGTACAACTCCCAAAGTCGGAGACAATAGTACTCATCCCCTTTAACACACTCAACACGGTTGTACTGCCATGAGCACAGCTGCCTTCCACTAGTCCTCAGTGCTCCTCAGCGTGCTTCAACAAGTCACAAGGTCTCTGGACATGGGACGGCTGATGGCCCAAAATGACACTTATGAAGGCTGACACCTAAATCCAGACTTCCTAGTCTTCAACAGCTCATCAACTCACTATCAAAATTGCTTTCTTTCACCCTATAAAAGAAAACAAGGATTTCTGGCCAGGGCTGATCTGTCTGGGAGCCCCTTTCTAATCTGAAAACTGCCAATGAACCCACCTTATTTACATATACAATCTCCCTCCAATGAAGGAAGGAAGGAAGGAAGGGAGGAAGGGAGGAAGGGAGGAAGGGAGGAAGGAAGGAAGGAAGGAAGGGTCCTCTAAAAAGATCAAGAATAGGTGGAGGTATATGAGAATAAATAGGAACAGCATGTGGAGAGTAGATGCACACAAGAGTGTGGTCAAACACAGCATTTCTGACTTGCTGATAGGGGCCATGCGTTGACAAGATTTAGAGAGTGGGAAATTGGGGATGGTTTGTTGAGATCACTGATGTAAAGGGATCACAAATCCCAAGAAGTCAGGGAATTGAATGGGGCAATAAACTTAATTAGAAGTTAAAGTCCATCTATCAAAGAGGTAAATTGGGCAATCAAAGTCCAATAAATTCTAGGCAGGGCAGAAAACAAGGCAGTTGTTGGTGATGGATGGGAGAAAGTGAATAGATTACAATCACAAGGTGTGCAGAGGCATGGGTTGTGGACCTAGGTGATGTGCCCATCATCAGGCTGGGACACGAAGGTGGAAAGCAAGGGTCTGGTAGCTATGCTGCTGTAAGGGCTCCAATCCTACCTTCTGGAAGGTAAACCAATAAAGCAGGTATAGCACGAGCGGCCTCTTGCCTGTCAGTCTTTCCTCTAGCTCCATGCAACGTAAACACTAGTGGAGTATCACGATAATCCTGCGAGCTTTCAAAGAAATGTCTGGGGGATTTAAATTCATCTTGAACTTTGGGGGATGTCACACACCCATATGCTTATTACAGAGTCTGAATAAATTAATACTTCTATTAATTTTTAAGTAGCTTATTTGTGTGTGTGTGTGTGTGTGTGTGTGTGTGTGTGTCTTGCAGATCCTTTACTTTTGCTACAGGGGAAAAAAGGAAGGGGTGTCCTAGAACACTTGCCAAAGTCTCCCATCACGGTTGCAGCTGCATACCTGTGTGTAACTGACAAAGGAGAGATTTGTCTGCCTTTTCCTTGAAGATGTAAGTCATCTGAGCATTGTTTTCTAAGTATGTCCCATCTTCCAATGTCTGAACTGCTTCAGTCTGTGGTCTCAAGAAATACAGCATTTGCATGGGCAGAATTAACCCTTTCCCTCTGGAGAATAGATTGTTAATTTCTGGAAGCTGCCATTAAAATTTACACCTCTGTTTTCCATCTTTGCAACAGCTCCTCTGCTTTGCTGGAACTCTCTCCTAACAGCCCTATTACTGCACTGTCGGGCAAACACGATTCATAAGCCAAGGCAAACACTTTACCTCTCAGGCTGTCTCTGGTTAATTTCCTCGAGGGAAGAATGGAGGATGTGGCAAGCATCTCATCAGACTATGTATTAACCTATGACCTGCCTGAGAGCCGGGAACAGGCTGAGTGCTATAGACGCCTTTGCTATTTCTCAGTTGCGTATCGTTTTTATTTGTTAGGATGCTCTACACAGGAACCCACCCCACATCCTGGTACCATCACTGGCTAATGGGAATGTGTAGTGAGTGAATTAAACAAGCAATTTTCACCTCACAGAAAAAAACCAAAAAGTAGACACTAAAAATAACGAGATGGTGCCAATGAGATGGCTCAGCAGGCTAGTGGTGCCTGCTGCCAAGCCTAGCGACCTGAGCTCAACAACACAAGGTGGGAGAGAACACTCCACAAGGCATCCTCTCACCTCCACACGTAAGCCACGACGCCATGACCCCCACATGAATAAAGATGTAACAACAACAGAACAGAGAGTTAAAATATTCACTTATTTGTAAACTTTTTCTCTGAAAGCATAATTTAAGGAAGCTCATCCAGTATAACCAGGCATCTCAAATACATAATCTGAATTCCATAATTAAATTTTTTTTCACTTTGCCATGGGTAAAACTACAGTAAACTCCAGAGTCTGGCTCCCTAAGGGTTCCTTATGACAGGACTCCAGGGAGAGGGAAGCTGTAACAGGGTGCGCCTACTTTATCGGCCACCATTCTATATAGCAGGAGTGTCTCCAGGCATGTTGGTGACAGATGGGTAACAACTGTGACATCTGAAAATTTTAGTTATTGTGACTATCATTCAAACTGCGAACAAAGCCCACAGATGCTCAGGGTGGGGAAAGACCCCCCTCCTTCTCCCACAGAGGAGTATCCTAGCCTGCAGCCCTTCTCCACACAGAACCATATTATCTAACTTGAGATCAGAAGAGCAGACACTTGTATATCCTGTTTCTCTATGAGCATCTGCTATTTCTAAACACATGGATGAGCTGTCATGGAACCAGCATGGCTTTCTTTTTTTTTTTTCCTTCTTTCTTTCTTTCCTTCTTTTTTTTTTTTTTTTTTTTGTGTGTGTGTGTGTATTACCAAGAATGTCACCTATTTCTTTCACCTGGAACTGAATGAATGTTAGAGCCTGGACATGCTTCAGGGGAAGTAAAGTATTGGCCAACCGAGTAGAAATTGACATGCAAAGAACTCAAATGAAGAGCCAGGGAAGTCTCAGCACTGTAAGCAGAAAGCAGCATTGTGTCATTAATAAGAGGCCCTACCCCACACGTAGAAGAATGCACTCAAGGACTTTACTTCAATCTTCAAAAACAAGCCAGCATAAAAGTGTACGTGTGTGTGTGTGTGTGTGTGTGTGTGTGTGTGTGTGTGTGTGTGACATCCTGTTCAAGGAAAAGTGTGAAAAAGCTAAAAATAAAAGCACAGCATGCACATCCTAATTATAATGTGTCCTCTGATTAAATGGTGAGTTTTTATTTACTTAATGTTAAATAAAAAAACCCGAACAAACAAACAAACAAAAAACGCACACTGTGATCCCAACTTGTGACCACAGCATGTGAGGATTAAGATTCAATTCATAAGTACCTACCTTTTAGTTCTTCCTCTTTAATTGCTGCTTAAGTGGTTGCCTAGGAAACCTCCTGGCTAAATGGAGAACTGCAAGTGAGCTCTCACATCCCAGCTTGCCAGGCTGACTTCCCATCTTTGCTTGAGAGTCAGTCTTCCTGAGCTACTGAGTCAGCCATCTGTGCAACCTGAAGGCATGGGAGAAAAAGTCTGTGAGTAATGGCCAACTTCGAATATTCCTAATAAAAATATAAGTTAAAGAAGCTAAGTCCTGCTCACATCAAATTTAGAAGAGAAATGGCTACTTTCAAAAACCCTACCACCAAGGCTTGAGATAACTCAGTGGTTAAGAGCATGTTGCTCTTGCAGAGGACCAGGGTTCAGTTCCCAGCAGTCACATGGAAGTTCACAAGTAACTGCAGCTCCAAGATCTGTTGCCCTCTTCTGCACCCCATAGGCACTAGGCAATTATATGGTACACATACATATATACGGACAGAACATTCACACATTAAAAAAAACTACAAAGTTGTAATCCAATAACAAGTAATTATGGAAGAGTTATTGGCAAGATAGTGACTGTTAGGATAAAAGATAACAGAGAAGACACTGGGAAGCCAAGGTCAAGGACATACCCAAGGAAAACACAGCCAGCAGTCATGGGATGTTCCCCAAACCCCACAGATGCCCACCACTCTAACTCCCACCCCACCTCAGGCTCCCTGCGTTCCTTACACACCGTCTACAAGGTGACTGATGTCACTGCGGAATAGGTCACTTTGCTGTATGTCAAGCTGATGGTGTTGATCATGCACCACCATACAATCTAGAGTTGAGGCCTAGGCTCAGGCAGCTGTACAGAGGTTTGATCTAATCAGAGTACATATGGAAACAGGTTATAAGAGATGTGGCCCACTGGCCTTCGAAGAAAGGGAGAATCATTATTCCAACAAACCAGATAGAGATACTAATAGAAGACTCAACAATATGGCCAGCTGATATCAAAATTCTAGTACCAAGGTTCTGGAATGTGCCTGGGGAGAAAGGGTGCCCGACTAGGGGTGGAGGTAGAGAGAACCTATCAATATTGTCTCTATGTTCCCTGAGCTCCTGGTGTCAATTCTGATGGTTTTCTCAAATTTCCAATCATCACTTACCCACAATAATTAAAACCAATCCCCAGAGCTCAGCTGTGCAGCTGCCCCAGGGCTGCTCCAGAGGGAGGGTATGAGGAAGGAGGGAATAGACCTGCAGGCTGGTTCCACATCTCCCCCAATCAGTTAAGGTGCTCCACTCTCCACACCAAACTGAGATAGAGCTAGGACCTTTCTACTCAGTTCCCACTATGGCTCCCTAGTGACTGCAAGATAAAATGTGTATACCCCTCAGTCTAGTTTAGAAAGTGCTTCACTAGCATGAACCCCATCCCCTAGAAAAACGTAATGGTGCCCCATCATGCCCTCCAGCCTATGAAAAGAAGTGTCCCAAGTTTAACCGACAGAGAAAAGCTGTAGCTGTGGGACTCACAACCTCCATGGGATGAAATAACCAGTTTCTCGGTGTGTGTGTGTACTTTATTCTAACACAACTTTCTCATGTACTTGAAATATGCGTTCTGGGACACCTTGCCATTCTCTCTCAGTTGACTCCCAACTATCAAAGTGAAGGATTATTTATTTTTCAAGGCAGGGTCTGACAGTGTAGCTCTGGCTATCTGAAACTCACAATATAGGACAGGCTGGCCTCGAATTCCTAAAGATCTACTTGCCTCTGTCTCCAGAATGCTGGGACTAAACAAACGTGTGCACCACTGCGCCAGGCTCAAGTGAAAGACTTTTGGCCTCGTATCTTTTCCGTTATAACTAGTCAGACCCTTCTTTCTTTAAGTCCTTACTAAGAATGGATCTTCTTTTAAGAAGGATTTATTTCAACTACGTGTGTGGGTGTGTACACGTTACCCATGGAAACCAGAAGGTTTAAATCCTTCGATTGTTTTTTAAAGATTTATTAGGCATACAGTGCTCTGCCTGCATGAATGTCTGCATGCCATAAGAGGGCACCAGATCTCATTGTAGATGGTTATGAAATACCATAAGGTTGCTGGGAATTGATCTCAGGACCTCCAGGAAGAACAATCAATGCTCTTAACCTCTGAGCCACCTCTACATCCTTCTGGAGTCAGGGTCACGGGCACTTGTGAGCATCTTGATGTGGTTGCTGGAAATCTAAGTTGACTCTTCTAAAACAGCAGTGCATGCTTTTAACTGCCTGGTCATCTCTCCACTTCAGAGTGGGTCTTTATATACCTACTACGGGTCTTGCAATAACAATACATGCTCTTAGCTGAATGCTCTGACTCTTCTTTCCCAACTGGTACCCAATCTAAAGCAAGAATTAGGCTCTACAAGTCCTTGGCAGGGACTCTGATCTCCATGGGCCTCTAAAGCAGAAGGAGGCCTCCCAGGGATTCCACCAGGGCCTGGCATTTCCTGGCCCCCTCTGGAACCCTTACCTTTCATCATTTGGCTTTCATTCACTTTCTTGAAGCCCAGATCTCTCCTGGCCTTTGTTATCCCTGCAGCCCTGTCCCTATCACAAAGCCTGTTGACAGTACCTGCTCACTGAATGAATGAATGCGACTGGCCTAGTGTACAAGAATCATTTTTTCAGGTAAAGCTTTTATACAGTTCCCTGTAGTTTGGAACATGTCAAATTCAGTTGCTGTTAAGACTGCTGTTTCTGCCTTCCTGTAGGAAAAGGCCAAAGTAAAAACACTGTTTTAAGTGGTCACCATGTGGCTTCGCAAATGACCTCAAGATATGACAGGAAAAATATAATTTTGGAGAAGGAAGCAGAAGGTATCCTCACAAAGCCGAATCTCTGTGGCACAAAAAGTAGCCATCTATTTAACTCTGGAAAGGTCAGGGAAGTTCTGCAGATACTCGTGCCTGACGATGAACCGTGAAACTGCCTTTTCTGCAGATGGCCGCTGGTGTTTACATGGGATGAAAGAACTCCAGCATGCCTTAGAGTCTACACCTCTCTCCCAGTTATCCTGATGATGAGGTGGCTAGAATTCTCCCAAAGAGAAAAGCCTCTCTGGGGGACTGGAGATGGTGCTGGAGGGCAAGACCAGAAAGGGCATCTCCACAGGAGATGCCAGCTTCCTTCTCAGGTAAGACTTTCCACCCCTTCTCAGGTAAGACTTTCCACCCCCTGCTTCATGCAAACATGCTTGCAAAGTGGAGCAGAGGGCCAGCTTCTGTATGCTGAGGAGTAGAAGTGGGGTACCTGGTTCCTAGGGGCACAAACTAGGGTGATTAAACAAAGTGTCAAGTCTCCAAAGTCACAGCTCTTGTCTACAAAATCAAAAACAGCAAGGGTGGTCCACATGGAGCTTTGTTGTTGTTTCTTTAACTTTCTTGCAAGTATGCTAATCAGTCATTTTATTTTATAATGAGACTGTCAACTTGACTGCAGCTGTCATATCAGTGTATTTCCCCCAACTGGGTCTAAAGTTATTGTTTTGAAGGTTGTCTCCAAACCTTAGAAACTAAGCCATAAAAACGCATTCTAGGGCTAAAGAGATGGTTCACCATTTAAAAGTACCTGTTGCTTTTGCAGGGACCTAGGTTCAATTCCCAGAACCATATGGTGGTTCACAACCATTTGTAACTCAAGGTTCAAGGGATACAAAACCTTCTTCCGACCTCCTTGGGCACCAGGCACGCATGTGGTACACATACATAAATGCAGAAAAAAAACACTCCTGCACATAACTTAAAAGATAAAACTCCATACATGCTATGCCCTGAGCAAGGATGGTGGCCTAGGGCTAATGGAAGAGGGCACAGTTAAGTGGGTAAAAGACAGGTATAACTTGGAATCCTGTATTCAACATTGCTTTTTCAATTTTTTTCTTACTACATAAATTTTTAGGAAGTTTTATATATGCATAGCATAATACGTATGTCATATGCAAAACATATCCGAAGACCTTACATTTAATGGACTCTAACCTAATTGGTGACAATTTTCTGTATTTAACTTTTTGATGTTCAGACTTTGCCAGTCCATACACTAAAAATGAATAGTATTAGTTAAAACAGCACTGGTACACGGAACAAACTTCAACGAATTAAGAAAGAACACGAACAGCGCCATCCTGTATTCTACACATATGAAAGAGCCTCTGTCTGACATTGTGCATGGGAAGCTCCACATGACTGAGAATGGAACCGAAAGCCAAGCAAAGTCCCCTGCAGTGGATTAAAAACACTACTCTCGTTTTTGCTGTCATTTCAAGTGACCATGAAGTGAGCAAAGACCCCTATCAGATGGATTTTTTTCAACCTTTCCCTCAGTGCAGAATCCTGAAACTGGCTCAAAGTCAAACAACTCTAAACACAGTTCCCAAGGTCAACACGAGAGGAGACTTTAGGTTCCACAGTCTTGAAAAATGACTTAGTGAGTCCTCCCAGATGCTCCATTTACAGCTGTGGGTGACAGAACGCTCCAGTGTGAACCACAAAGTCAGTCATTCTGGCAACAGCAAATTTGTCACAAATTCTGAGGCGGAATTGTAAAACATCTAAAAATTCTATCACTCAGATATGCTAAAGTAATACTAGTTTAATTTTTGTGGGGTGTGGTTCTTGAGACAGGGTATCTCTGTGTAACATTCCTGGCTGTCCTGGAACTTGCTCTGAAGACCAGGCTGGCCTCGAACTCACACAGATCCACCTGCCTCTGCCTCCCAAGCAAGGGCTGGGATTAAAGGCTTTTGCCATGACTGTCTGGCAATCTTTTTTTTATATATAAATTTAAGTGAGGCCTTGAGTTTATTAAGAAACTAATCAGACAAAACCAATAAATTCACCCGTTCATGCAACACAGAGACAAAATGGCCGACAGAGGAAACCTATGACCTCCTACAGCCAACTGTTTTCAGGTGGAGGAGCAGGTGGCGCTGAGGATGCAACAACAAGAGCTGCTCCAGCTCTGCGAGTCCACAGAGCATTTCTACACTCAAAAATACTTCCCTCCAATTAATTATAATAGTGTATCGTGGTGCTTTACTAGACATACTTCAGGACGGATAAAATGTTATGATGCTAAACATTCCCCAACTGCAACCGAAAGCTAGGAGGCTTCCTTGTGCTAAAGTCAGGAGCGACCTGTGCAGCGTCTGAGCAGAGCAGGGCAGCTGAAGCAGACTATGGAGATTCTAAAGGAAAACCGAAATGCAGGCTGCTGCTAAATAATGCTGCTTCAAAACATTCCTGCCTTTACATAATTTTTTAAAAAATTCTTACATTTAAGGCTTTCAATACCATGTCTATATACCATAGACATCTGAAATCAGATACACCCTGCCAAAGTAGGCAGGATCTCAAATGCAGTATTTCAAGAGTCTTTAGGGAAGATAATTAACAAAGCCTTACAGTTGAGACTACTGTCTTTGGTGACTTGCTCCCAAAGGTAGAGGGAAAAAGAGAGAATTTACAGAAAACAGGCAACACTGAGCCAAGTAACAAGTGATTATCAACGGTGAAGTCACACAGCATGCGCTCTTCATGTGGCTGTGATAAAAAAACAAAAAAGATAAATAACACTTCAGCCAGTGGTCTTCCTTTCCAAATACCTGTGGTTGTTTGAATAGGAATGCCCCCCACACCCCAGACTCACAGGTTTGAATGCTTGGCCACAGGGAGTAGCCTGGTTGGAGGTGTGTCTCTGGTGGAGGTGTGGCTCTGGTGGAGATGTGCCACTAGAAGGTGGACTTTGAGGTCTCAGAAGCTCAGGCCATGCCCAGTATGGTGGCATTTCCTTCCTGCGTCCTACGGATTCAGATGTAGAATTATCAGCTCTTTCTTCAGCACCATGTCTGCCCGCATGCTACAATGCTTCTTGTCATGACAATAATGGATTAAACCTATAAACTGTAAGCCAGCCCCAATTAAGTGTTTTCCTTTTTAAGACTTGTCATGGTCAAGGTGTCCCTTCACAGCAATAAAACTCCAAGACACCACCCTATCTAATAATCAGTATAACGAATGCTGAGAGAAATTCTGCCAACTGTTTACTCAGTACGTCTGTGGTGGCCTTTGGTGGCTTGAACGAGAATGGCCCCCTCGGCCTTTAGATCAGGATGTAAGACCTGTCTGCCTACTTGCCCACGGCCGTGCTTCTTACTATGATGGTGAAACTCGAAGCGAGCAACCAATGAAATGCTTTCCTCTACAAGCTGCACTGGTCACAGTGTTTTGTCACAGCAACAACAACAAAAAAAAAGTAACTAAGACAAGGCTCAAAACTGACTATGCAGTGCTCCGGATAGGGACGCAGCTTAGCTAGGGATGTAGCTCGGCTGGTGAAGGACCTGACTGCCAGGCATGAAGCCCTGAGCTGGTTTCCTAGCGCTGCAGAAAACCAGATAAGAGTGTGCACGCATGCCTTAATCCCAGCACAGGGGAGGTGGGGACAGGAAGATCAGAAGTTCACGGTCATCCTTAGCTGCACGGAAGTTCCAAGGCAGCCTGGATTACAGGAGACCCCATCTCAACAAAACAAAACAAAACTGAAAGTGAAGAAATTAAACACCTGTAGTCAACTACTTTAAGATAAGGACAATTCTAAAAAGCATGAGGCTAAGAGTAACACGGCACACCTGAGTGGAGACCCGGAACAGGAAATGGACACTAGAGAACCATGAGTGCCGAGTGACACGTGTATTTCTGTTCACAGAGATGTTCCCACGTTTGCAGGCTCCCCAAACACACAGAGCCCGCAGCATCAGTGCTCAGTACTTCAGATGACTGTGGTGTCACTGCCACACAAACAGGGACAAGCCCAGGCTAGGATCCTGATCGCCCTGAGTGTTGACCAACCGACACTTTGGACAATCTGGGAACTTGTCTGAGATGCCAAGAGACCACAGATGGTGTGTGTGCAACAAGAAAAAAATAACACCTCAGAACTGCCTCACACCCCCATCTGAAGTGAAAAATAGGCAACTTTATGCAAGAAGAAAAAAAGACTAAACAGGTTGGCCAGGAGCCATCAGTGTTCTGTGGAAACACATGACAAGCCAGCCCTTGTATTTCACTCAGCAAACACCATTGCCAGAGCCGAGCAGGTGTGAAAGAGTTATACAGCCTCAACAGAGCAGCATGTCAGACTCCCTCCCTGTAAACACAGGAAAGCATGGCTATGGGATCCTTTAAAACTCCGAAGGACAAAGCAGGCCACCCGAAAAGACCTCCCAACCCCACAAATGATGTTTAAAACTATCCAGTCAGAAACACGTGGGACCAAGCCAGCCATTAAGTCTTTCAGGTGCTGCTCAATACAGAAAAATATTCTGTCTTTGCAGAACAAACACGTGGGCACGATTGTGTATGCTGAAATGGGTTTATTTAATTGCCCTGAATTTCAATCGAAAAAGAAATCTGGAGACTAATCTGCTCTAACCGAGGAGTTCCAGAATGGATGAACCAGATGAATACACAGCAATCATCAGGCAAGAAAATTATAACGTGCATGTCTCAGAAAATTAACATACTGTCTATCAAAATCAGGGGTTTTTTTTGGGGGGGGGGGTGGAGGTTGACCAAATCCTCTTAAAGTTCATTTGGGAAAGTTTTCTGCAGAAATAGCCTAGACGATCCTGGAAAAGGCTATAATGGTGATGGTGGTGTTCCACAATGCACAGACTCAGACCACTTGGGTCATGAGAAAAGAGTGTGGCTAGAGATCTGGAACACAGAGAGGTCGGTAGAGAGCTGTAAGGTATCTATAATAAACAAGGCAAGTGACAACAGGCTCATGGTGTCTAGAGTGCCTGTCATTTGTAGGTTCTGCTGATGGACACATGACAGGGAAACAAACCAACTTGAAAGTTGGAACACCGCCAAACTGAGCAACTTTGAGGTGTTTGCTTCTGCTTTCCACCCAAGTAGCATCTTGTATCAATAAGACTCCTAGCATTTGGCTGGGCAGTGGTGGTGCAAACCTTTAATCCCAACACTCAGGAGACAGAGGCAGGCAGATCTGAGTTTGAGGCCAGCCTGGTCTAGTTAGGAGTACACAGAGAAACCCTATCTTAAAAAATAAAAAATAAAATAACACTCCTAGAATTATCAGAGTACACTGTAAGTTGATATTTACATAAACATCATGGGAAATTTGTGATTTCAAGAATAATCATTGTGAAATTAAGTTGACCAAAACACCAGCAGAGACATGGCTAAGAGATCTGCTTATCTGTATTTTAAATGTCAGTATATTTACTAAAAAGATGTTATGAACATCACACACACATAAAAATTTTCAAGTTTTTTTAAAAACGAACAAATGACTGAATACCAACTTCAAACATACATACATAAAGCTAGTAACACAAATTCTCAATCTCCCATATAATCAACAAAATTCTAATTAAAACTTTCATACCCTTAATTTTGAAATAATTAAACTCTGATAATGACAGGTGTTGATGCGGCTGTGGCTTTCATGACAGCTATTAAAGGTTAAGCTGGAGCTTTCTAGCAGTCTACCCCATGGTACATTCCCTATAAAGTGTGTGTGAGGATGTGCAGTTATTCTAATAGTCAAAAATCACAAATGCAAATCTTTCAATAGAAAAATTATTTTAAAATAGTGACATAAATCTAGGGAGATGGCTTGGTTAGTGAACCTGAGTTCAGGTTCCCAGGACAGAGTCACATGCCTGTAACCCCAACACTGGAGCCATGAGCAGACGGACGCAGATCCTCGAAGCTCAGAGAGGAGGCCTGGCAAGGCTTCAGCTTCACTGGAAGCCCATCTCGAAGATGAAGGTAGAGAGCCATCAAGGAAAGGCAGTAGACATCATCCTCTGGCCTCCACACTGGAAAGCGCGCGCGCACGCACGCGCACGCACACACACGCACACACACACACGCACACACACGCACGCACACACACACACACACACACACACACACGTTACATACTTCAAAGACAATGAAAATACTGAGTAAGGGCTATAGGGAATTAATATAAATAACCTCCATCACATCACTGGACGAGAAATCCCAGACAAACTACACACTACGGACAGTGGAGAACACTAAGACATGCTGTCTCGATCCCCTGCAAATAGATCAAGCTTAGTCCCCAGCTCCTCAGAGTGCTGTGAGCTAAGACGGTAGCCTCATTGGTCCTATCCCATGGCCAGGCCAATCTTCATCCAGGGACTGGTTGATGTGAAGGCACACTGTGTGGCTCTCACCCACCCAGGAATTAGCTGAAGCCTTCCTTGAGGCTTTATGACTTATTTGCCCCTCTGCCCAATCCTGATTTCTTCTCTTCCATAAGCATTAACCCTGGCATCTCCTTGACAACTTTCCTTCTTCTTAATTGCCACAGCCTCGGCTTCCCTGGAACCTCACTCACAACAGATACAAGTGACATTTTGATTTAGAACATAACCACGGTACAGCATGCTGTGAAATGGCACTGTCTACGTTTGGGAATATATGTGTGCATATTTATTTGGTCATGTTTTTTAAAATGTGTTAGAATGACAACCAATTCAGTGTAGAGGTTAATGACCACCTAGAAAGTAATGAGGAGCAAAGGTTTGTGGGAGATCTACATCGCATTCTTCATTTTACTGAAATGATCTAGGAATTTTAAGACCCACCTTGTCTCTGTGTCAACCATTTTCTACCTTCTTTCTGCCCCTACCCTGTATGGATGTATTATGACAGAAATACAGGGGTGGGAGGTGAGCATGTGTAACACAGTGCTACATAGTAAGATAAATGACGCCTGCTTTCTACCGAAACCCCACTCTCTTCTGCTGGGGGCAGGACGAGATTCCAAGTGAGTGAGAGGTAAACCACAGGAAAGGCTGATCATGTCGACTTCACAGGAACAGCACTACAATGTGAACCAGAACAGGCTGACTGAATTAGGGTACTATTTCAACCTGCCACCATGTCACAGAGAAAAATATGTTAAGAAGAAACCAGGGTGAAGGGAAATGCTGAACCTTTACTGAAAATATTACAGTAAAGCTACACAAACACACAATGTCTGTATAGCTTTTCTCTATGCAACTACACATGGTGATGTGTGCCTTTGAATCAAAGCACTTGAGAAAGAGAAGTAGGTGGATATCTTGGGATCTCGAGGCTAGCCTGGCTGACAAAGTTCCAGTCTGACAAGGGCTACATGATGAGATCCCAGCTAAAAACAAAACAAAACACCAGCAAAATAAAGAGGAATCCATACTTTAGCTCAGGAGCTCCCTCTTGTGGCACACAAAAGTCTGCTTCCTAGAGTGGCAGGCCAGCCTAGGAGGGCCTTCTAGAATTTTCTAACAGTGGAGGCGGGACTTTCATCCCTGCCATTCAATTACAGGGAACCAGTCCACATGAGGTCATGTTCCTGGCTTCCTCAAGGTACCTTCCCCAGGGAACTGTGTTCAGCTCCGGCGTACCACACTCTGCTCTGCATCTGGACACACAGTATCTGCCATGCCCAACTTTTTGTTAACAAGACTTAAAGCAGATGCTGACCACATGTCTGATGTGGGGTTCCCCTCTGTATGCTGTGATTATGTTTTATTACCACTGGTTAATAAAGAAGCTGCTTTGGCCTATGGCATGGCAGAATGAAGTTAGGTGGGATATACAAACAGATACAGGGAGAAAAAAGGTGGAGGAGTCAGAGAGATCCCATGTAACTGTCAAAGAAGAAAGACACCAGAACCTTACGAGTAAGCCACAGACTCGTGGTTACACACAGATTAGTACAAATAGGTTAATTTAAGAATAAGAGCCAGCTAAGA